AACAAACTCTAAAGTGTTGGTCTATACAACATTGGGGGCTATTAGTGATGTTTACTGAACAATCTCTAAAGTGTTGGTCTATACAACATTTGGGTATATCAGTGATGTTTACTGAACAAACTCTAAAGTGTTGGTCTATACAACATTGGGGGCTATTAGTGATGTTTACTGAACAAACTCTTTAAGTGTTGGTCTATACAACATTGGGGTATATCAGTGATGTTTACTTAACAAACTCTAATGTGTTGGTATATACAACATTGGGGGCTATTAGTGATGTTTACTGAACAATCTCTAAAGTGTTGGTCTATACAGCATTGGGGTATATCAGTGATGTTTACTGAACAAACTCTTTAAGTGTTGGTCCATACAACATTGGGGGCTATCAGTGATGTTTACTTGACAAACTCTTAAGTGTTGGTCTATACAACATTGGGGGCTATTAGTGATGTTAACTGAAAAATCTCTAAAGTGTTGGTCTATACAACATTGGGGTATATCAGTGATGTTTACTTCACAAACTCTAAAGTGTTGGTCTATACAACATTGGGGGCTATTAGTGATGTTTACTTAACAATCTCTAAAGTGTTGGTCTATACAACATTGGGGGGCTATTAGTTATGTTTACTGAACAAACTCTTAAGTGTTGGTCTATACAACATTGGGGTATATCAGGGATGTTTACTTAACAATCTCTAAAGTGTTGGTCTATACAACATTGGGGGCTATTAGTGATGTTTACTGAACAAACTCTAAAGTGTTGGTCTGTACAACATCGGGGGCTATCGGTGATGTCTTATGTTTCGGTCTACATCACACTGCGTTTTATATAAGTAATGCTTTCACGTTCTGTATGGTGTTTGGTTTACACAATAGTAGAGCTACCAGCAATTATACTACAGGATCTTACGTCAATAATTGTGGTAAACCTGGCTGTAATGTACGGTTTAAAATGACTGAAATTTATTACAGGTATATAATCAATACCGTGTATAGTGTTACGTTCCCCCTTTTAACCATGTATCTCGTGAATAACGCTCTATGACTGTGTAAGCATGGTCTGTTTTAGTTATGTATATACCCAGATACGAGTTGGTGGTGAAGAACCGCATAAATACATTCTAAATAAGTCAGATGAAAGAAGTCGCCATTTCACCCCCGGGAACATTTAAGATCATTTTTGATTTGATAGCTTTTAAATGATAAACCAACACATTACAAATGTTTATATTTTTAAGACAGTGACATAAGACCTACCAATCCACGAAGGCTATTGAGCTCACTCGGTCATCGTCCGGGTTAATTGAACTGTCGAACTAAATGCCAGTGAACCAAGCACAAGACCATTCGTCCATATTTATATATAGCGATGACGGTAATGTCATGGTCAGGTGGTTGTGTAAATTTATATAAGGTCAACTGAGAATCAGGTAGACGTTTTTGTATATACTAGTCTTTGTACGGTCTACGAGTACCAGGTAGCCGTTTCTTTAGTTTGTGAACAGTCTACGTTACGTGTACATGTAGCTACTGGTACCCCGACAGATGATTCTTTAGTTTGAACTACCTGATCGCCAGTAATGTGTATTGCCCTACAGATTTAAGAAGTAGAGCTCTGATAAATTTGCGTCTGTATAGTGTAACGCCATTAAATGGTACTGGCACGGTCTGGTATCGATTTAGTACCCGCTCTAAGGGCTATTTATAAATATATTGATAAACTTCATTTTGCATGACATATTAAATTTTTAGAAAAATAATTTTAATGAGATGTTAAACACATGCTATCAATGAAAGCAGAGAGGGGTAGACAACAGTCAGAAAATCCTCCGTATACAACACCAGCGTCTTATAGACACAGGTGTAGTTATCATAGTCAACATCAGTTACAGGTATACACGCTGGTACAAATCGATACCACCTTCTGACGAGGAATGGCTACCTTGACGTGGTGTCAAATATAAATATTACATATATAGTCATGACACCTTTATCTGCCAACATTGTATACGTTTTTGTTGAGACGCACTCCCCAAATATAGAACATATCTTTGATTATAATGTATCTAATGGAACATGCCTGTAATGCGGTACCGGTCGAGTGTGGACAATGTGGTTATATAAACGTTTACTAACGGGGTATAGACAGTCAGTGTCTCTGTGTAGATATTGTTTATGTCAAAGTCCTGGTCTTATTGCACACAAACGGGTTTGTTAGTCACACTACGTTAGTCCGTATATAATGGGTTTGGCAGAAATATTAAGGCTGAAGGCTCCGCAATTGTTGCACACACATACATACACACACGATCGTTTTAACCACACCCCTAACCTCACACACACAAACATTTATCCCACCAAAACTACATACCTTGTTGCGGTGGCGATGGCGTTTGGGCTGCTGCAAACGCCAAGATGACATATAAAACTCCAAGTGGACAGGCCATTGAGGCCAGTTTGTCCGAAACGTTCGCCATACCTGTTCACAGGTAAATAGTCGACTGTGTGCCGGTCTCTCGCTCGACACAATTATATTCTTATTACGGCGAGGTCACGGTCGGCTGGTTCCTCACCTGTGTCGGGTACTGGCTTTATTCAATAAGAATTACTCCGGATCGTTTCACCTGATTTTCAATGCCGTTCGTTATTCGATGTTGACCTTACCGTAGGCCTAATGGTTAACATTGTTCTGTATTGCAATGTGAAGCTTAACGGGAACAAAGTGCCCGCTACTTTGTGTTTAGCGGGCAGTGTTTGTATGGTGATTCGTTTTGATTAGCTCATGTAAGTATTGACACTGAAGTCTACATTCTTAGGGTAATGTAATAAAACAAGTCTGATTACGGGTTAATAATAAGGGGCATTACAATAACTCGTTTCTGTATTTTAAGTGAAATTTCTCCTAAATGAATATTTTGCAAACCCCTATAAAAGTTGTAAATGAGAAATCGAACTTAACGGTTTTTGTACACATAGGTTCTCAACTCGCCGTTACGCACGAAAATGACGGATCGTCCCTGATCTTTGAAAATCAAAAACACAGGTTAGATGTGACTAAGTGTTCTACTCCGTTGTTACACAGCGCGTGCATATTGGATTTGAAGACATTTTTTGTTTGTTAAAATTTAACTTTTAAATGAATGTAAAAAGTACAGGTAGTACGTGAATTAAGTGGAAACATCGTGTGGCTTGAGCGTGCGACCACAGACGTACAGTGTGCTTACAATTGACGGAGAAGTAATTATACAGTAACTTGTGACACAACGTTCATACACATTACTGAGACCCCGGATTCTAAGTCAGTGCTGAGACACAAGAGACGAGAAAAACTGTTAACAGACAACACTCGTATTTATTTCAGCACTCAGGACTAAAGTATTAAGGTATAAATATATGTTGACAAATATTGATAAGCAGTGGGTTTTTAATACATTTCTATGTCGTCCAAGCAGGTTTCTATAACTTCTGGTTTATATGTTATTTTACAGTACCGAGAAAAACTGGCTGTAAAAAACATTTCAATAGAATATCTCACTAAGCCAATTAATAGTTTACTGTTGCCTACATAGACAGTGGACTTTAGGCAGGATTATCACACCCATGTCATTCCGCGAGGACTAACTGACCCTTGTTAATTTCTTTGAGGACTAGCTGACAGGATTATCTCCCTTGTTGACATACACATCGCGGGATTCTATAGATGTGACAAGATCTAGAGTGGCGTCGCACCAGATCATATTACGTAAAGTTAATCCCATACAAACGAGTTTTGAAAGGACAGTAACATGTTCAGGTAAAGTCGTTTCCAAAGAAATACTCGCTCTTTCATAATTCAGTTCTTACTGGTCGTCGTCAAACTACCTCTGGTACAACACACCTCATATTATCTAACTGATAGTCAACAACGCACTTAGCGAATTAAATGTACAAACATCTGGCAACATTAATATTTCCCGGTAAATATTACAAAATATGCTGAAAAAGAGACATTATCTACAATTTTCTACATTCATTAAGGTATATTGCATTAACATGTAAACACCCTTTGGAGCCACGTTTTAAATGGCCTCACGACAATTCTCCTTCTTGTCACCCGTGCAATTCATGTTTCAGTTCTGTCGGCCATGTCATTATGATGTTAACATTGTTGATATTAGTAAACTTCAGGTTGTACAAAATGATATCGATAACTAATACCAAGTAGGTAAAATGGGAACAGGTTTGGTATAGCTTTTCTGCATGGGTAAACGCTATAAGGTATCCTATCGAGGCTCGGATATACGTATGATATATGTTAACAGCGGACGGATACCAAAATCCATTTTTCTTTGTCCATCAACTTTATAATATATAAACAGCCGACCATTGTTGAACAATGCTAGCATACCACTTCGTCAATCCATTGGTCAGTTATCGGTCTATACCTGAATACTTCGGTGTATCAAATACAGACTCGGATTCAGACCTATTTCCCCCTTATTGGATCCCCATATTGAATCCCTAGATTCCGAGAGTTTGTTGTGGGGAGTCCACAACGTTTTAAGCTGGGTTCTATCGCATTCAACTAATAGCGAGCTCAAGTAATTAGGTAGTACTACATTTAATGAAAATAACGCTATCTCATTTACTTGACATTGTATCTAACCGCTCCTCATGTTAACGTTCTTTCTAAGTTGAGACATATGCTTGCTGCTACAAAGTACACAGATCAAGACCACTGAGGACGATATTGGCCCCGTGTTAATAAATGGGAGAGGAATTTGTATAGTTTCAAACATATATTCTCATCCCTTTGATAGTCTAAGTTTTATATCTGTTATAATTGTATTATATTCTTTTTATTAAAAATGCTATTTTAACTGAACTAAATGTTTGATGATATTTTTGTTGAGTATCCGTATTTAAATGAGGACAAACTATGTTTTCCCTTTTAACCAACCGTATTTTTACGAATCCCTCACCTGTTAAGAGTATATACTAGCCTATAACGGGCTGAGGATGACAGATGTTGACGGAATTCTTCACCACATTAAATCTAGCAACTAGACAAGTTACAACAGCTGTTGCATAAACATATAATATACGTAAGGTTTACACAAACACTACATATTCTAATCATACCCGTCTTATGAAGTTCTTCTCAAACCAATAAAACCATGATAAAGATTCTTATTAACCCTAGTACCTTAACGGTGGACATCATAAAATACTGATTAACGAATGGTAGACAGTTTAGAAACGCTGATTAACGAATGGTAGACAGCTTAGAAACGCTTATTAACGAATGGTAGACAGCTTAGAAACGCTGATTAACGAATGGTAGCCAGATTAGAAACGTTGATTAATGAAAAGTAGCAATTCTTTAGAAACGCTGATTAATGAATGGTAGACAGATTGGAAACGTTGATAAATGAATAGTAGGAATTCTTTAGAAACGTTGATTAATGAATAGTAGGAATTCTTTAGAAACGCTGATTAATGAATAGTCGGAATTCTTTAGACACGTTGATTAATGAATAGTAGGAATTCTTTAGAAACATTGATTAATGAATAGTAGCAACTCTTTAGAAACGCTGATTAACGAATGGTAGCAATTCTTTAGAAACGCTGATTAATGAAAAGTAGGACTTCTTTAGAAACGTTGATTAATGAATAGTAGCAACTCTTTAGAAACGCTGATTAACGAATGGTAGGAATTCTTAGAAACGCTGATTAATGAATAGTAGCAATTCTTTAGAAACACTGATTAATGAATAGTTGCAATNGTAGCAATTCTTTAGAAACGCTGATTAACGAATAGTAGCAATTCTTTAGAAACGCTGATTAACGAATGGTAACAATTCGTTAGAAACGTTGATTAACGAATGGTAGCAATTCTTTAGAAACGCTGATTAACGAATAGTTGCAATTCTTTAGAAACGCTGATTAACGAATGGTAGGAATTCTTTAGAAACGCTGATTAATGAATAGTTGCAATTCTTTAGAAACGCTGATTAACGAATAGTAGCAATTCTTTAGAAACGTGGATTAACGAATGGTAGGAATTCTTTAGAAACGTTGATTAACGAATAGTAGCAATTCTTTAGAAACGTTGATTAACGAAAGGTAGCAATTCTTTAGAAACGCTGATTAACGAAAGGTAGGAATTCTGAGAAACGCTGGCTAACGAAAGGTAGCTATTCCCTAGAAACTTTGATAAACGAATGGTAGCAATTTTTTAAAACGCTGATTAATGAATGGTAGGAATTCTTTAGAAACGCTGATTAACGAATAGTAGCAATTCTTTAGAAACGTGGATTAACGAATGGGAGGAATTCTTTAGAAACGTTGATTAACGAATAGTAGCAATTCTTTAGAAACGTTGATTAACGAAAGGTAGCAATTCTTTAGAAACGCTGATTAATGAATAGTTGCAATTCTTTAGAAACGCTGATTAACGAATGGTAGCAATTCTTTAAAAACGCTGATTAATGAATAGTAGCAACTCTTTAGAAACGCTGATTAACGAACAGTAGCAATTCTTTAGAAACGCTGATTAACGAATAGTAGCAATTCTTTAGAAACGCTGATTTACGAATGGTAACAATTCGTTAGAAACGTTGATTAACGAATGGTAGCAATTCTTTAGAAACGTTGATTGACGAATGGTAGCAATTCTTTAGAAACGCTGATTAATGAATAGTAGCAATTCTTTAGACACGCTGATTATCGAATGGTAGCAATTCTTTAGAAAACGCTGATTAACGAAAGGTAGGAATTCTTAGAAACGCTGGTTAACGAATGGTATGAATTCTTAGAAACGCTGGTTAACGAATGGAAGGAATTCTTAGAAACGCCAATTAACGAATGGTAGCAATTCTGAGGAACGACAATTCATGATTAGTAGGAATCCTTGAAAAAATATCAACGAATTATAGTCATTCTTATAAACGCTGATTAAAGAATGTTAGAAATTCTTAGAAACGCCGGTTGACAAATGTTAGAAATTCTTCGAAACGCTGGTTAACAAATGGTAGGAATACTAGAAACGCCAATTAACGAATGGTAGGAATTCTGATGAACGCCAATTAACGGTAGGAATCCTTGAAGAAATATCGACGAATTATAGTCATTCTTATAAACGCTGATTAAAGAATGTTAGAAATTCTCAGAAACGCTGGTTGTCAAATGTTGTAAATTCTTAGAAACGCTGGTTCACAAAAGCTTGAAATTTTAAGCAATGCTGGTTTAAACAAATGGTAGAAAAGCTGGTTAATGAACTTTGAAAAGCAAATTAAACTAATTATAGTCATTCTCATAAAGGCCAATTAAGGAATGGAAGGAATTCTTAGAAACGCTTATTAACGAATGGTAAAAATCCTTGAAAAGCTAATTAACGAATGGTAGGAATTCTTATAAACGCTGATTAACGAATGGTAGGAATTCTTAGAAACGAATTCTTAGAAACGCTAATTAACGAATAGCAGGAATTCTTAGAAACGCAAATTAACGAATGGTAGGAATTCTTAGAAACGCAAATTAACGAATGGTTAGAATTCTTAGAAACGAATTCTTAGAAACGCTAATTAACGAATAGCAGGAATTCTTAGAAACGCAAATTAACGAATGGTAGGAATTCTTAGAAACGCAAATTAACGAATGGTTAGAATTCTTAGAAACGAATTCTTAGAAACGCTAATTAACGAATAGCAGGAATTCTTAGAAACGCAAATTAAC